AAGAAAATTAACGCCTCACGTTACATTTTATTAAATTCAATGCACGAAATTATTCAGTCCAGAAAAATGAATGAATCCGTTTAATTTATGAATATATCACAGTATATGTTCCTCTACACAGGGTTGTCCTGAAGCTCCACCTTTGAGATCTTGGCCATTTGCTTTGGGTCGTTGTCCTGCTGTCTTCGGTCATGAGCACTCTGGAGCAGGTTTTCATCCTGATGTCTCTGATCAATGCTGCATTCATCTTTCCCTCCATCCTGACTAGTATGCCAGTTCCTGCTGCTGAAACACATCCCTATAGCATGATGCTGCCACCATCATGCTTCACTGTAGGGATAGTGTGCTTTGTGTGTTGCCTGTTGTTCTGTCTGTACAGCACTTTGGTTGGCCTTGTCGCTGTTTTAAGTGCTCTTTAAATAAAATGGTATGGTATGGTATAGTATAGTGTTGGCCTGGTGATGAGAGGTGCCTGGTTTTCTCCAAACATGACGCCTGACATTCACACCAAAGAGTTCAATCTTTGTCTCATCAGACCAGAGAGTTTTGTTTCTCCTGGTCAGGTACTTTTGACAAACTCCAGATGTGCTGCCATGTTCCTTTTATTAAGGAGCGGCTTTCCTCTGACCACTCTACAGTACATGCCTGATTGGTGGACTGCTGCAGAGATGGTTGTCCTTCTGGAAGGTTCTCCTCTCTCCACAGAGGAACACTGGAGCTCTGACAGAGTCACCATCAGGTTCTTGGTTGCCTCCCGATTGCTCCGTTTAGACGGGCAGCTCTGAGAAGAGTCCCGGTGGTTCCAAACTTCTTCTATTTACAAATGATGGAGACCACTGAGCTCATTGGGACCTTCAAAGCAGCAGAAATGTTTCTGTATCCTTCCCCAGATTTGTGCCTCAACACAATCCTGTCTGGAGGTCTACAGACAATTTCCTTTGACTTCATGCTTGGTGTTTGTGCTCTGACGTGCACTGTCAGCTGTGGGACTTTCTGTAGACAGGTGTGTGTCTTTCTAAATCAAGTCCAATCAAATGAATTTACCACAGGCGGATTCCATGTAAGTTGTAGAAACATCTCAAGATGATCAGTGGAAAGATAATTTGAACTCAATTTGAGCTTCATGGCAAAGGCTGTGAATACTTACATAAATGTGAAAAAGTCCATGATCAATAATCCAGGTATACAATCCAACAATTTTCAGTCAGGTCATCTGGACAGTTTATTTTTTTGCTGAAACATTTTACCTTCCATCCAGAAGGCTTCATCAGTCAAGGAAACACACAACACAAAACTGATTCTTCCCCCAAACAGCTTATTTCAAAGTGGAACAAACCAGTTATGTTGGTGCCAAGGAAAAAAAAAAGAAACTGTCCAGATGACCTGACTGAAAATTGTTGGATTGTATACCTGGATTATTGAGCATGGACTTTTTTTGGTTTTGAACCAGTCGACTGTCGACAAGGAAGAGGGCCGGCACGAGAGGAGGGGGTGTGCCAAAGAAACCATCTTAGCACCAACATAACTGGTTTGTTCCACGTTGGAGTAAACTGTTTGGGGGAAGAATCAGTTTTGTGTTGTGTTTCCTTGACTGATGAAGCCTTCCGGATGGAAGGTGAAACGTTTCAGCAAAAAAAGAAACTGGCCAGATGACCTGACTGAAAATTGTTGGATTACATAAATGTGATTTCTTTGTTTTCTATTTTTAATACGTTTGCAAAAATCTCAGACAATCTTTCTTCATTTTGTCATAATGGGGTATTGTGTGTAGAATTTTGAGGAAAGAGATTAATTTAATACAATTTGGAGTAAAGCTATAACAAAACAAAATATGGAAAAAGTGAAGCACTGTAAATACTTTCTGGAATCACTGTATGTAAACTAGCCAACCCTATCAATTGAAAAAACTATGCTAGTTTTTATATTACTTAAAAGTATAGTTTCTTCAAATGACTGGGGTGGTCAAATATTAATTTATTGTGGCCAAGGCCCCCATTGGCCACCCCCAGGCTCTGTCACTGCACCTGGTCATGGATAAAATGTCTCCCTCCAGGTTCCGTCGCTCTGTTTAAGACAAGAAAAAAAAAAAAAAACTAACTCTGTTCTTCTTCACAGTGTAACTCATACCCACTTGAATATCTTTCACCAAAAACATTCAGGTTTACTTACATTCCCTGTTCAACTCTAGATACAGAAAAACACTAATTTCAAAGACAAACATTCACTATTCAAACCCCTCAGAGACGGGGACATCATCATACTGCTCGTTTAAACTGGAGTTTATTAAGGTGGCAGAGATCCACTTACATCTTAGCCCTGTTTGAACTAATTATTAGCTTTTCGATTAGGGATGAATTAAAATGTATTTATTCAAACTGAAGTTGTTCAAAGAGCTTTCTGCAACAAATGAAACTGTTCATAAGATTTCCACAGAACCCCATCTACAAAGGATCAACTTGAACATTTTTAAGCTATTCATTGGGCTACTATAATTTTTTTTACATGATTAGTTAAATGTGTTAAATTTGAGCTTTCAGGATTATCATCATCTGGAGGAGGCAACTTGATGTTTACTGAGATGACCTGAAGATGTGAGAAATAGAATGGAGCATTATTCTAGGACAAAATTCATTCAACTTTATGAGAAAGAAACCAGAGTAACTGTTTAAGGAACACACTTGTTTCCAGAATAGAGAGGATAGATGTATTTAAATCTTTTCCTGTTCTTTTTCATATTGTCAAAACTATTTTTGCATGTCTCCCATCAGTGTGGTCATATACTGTATGTCCCAGAACATTGAATTTAACTTTTAACTATACTATTCAACAAAATAGCTGCTATTTTTTGTCAAGTAATTAATCTAATAAAAAAAAGTGAACTTTTCTGCAGATTTTCTGAGTACACATCATCCAGCCTCACAGTTAACTCCCATTAACTTTGATTTCAGTGGTTGCTTCAAAAAGAATTTCACTCAGTTTGTTTGAGGAACAATTAAAGTCAAGCATAAAAATCACTTTTTCACAATAGTGTTTTTAAAACAATGATTTATTTGACCATTTTACATGACAGAATACAGTGTTACCAAAATGTTTAGCTTTAATATGCAAACTTTGCATTTTATCATGAGCTTGTGGTAAAAAAAAATCTATAAAACATGTTTAGCCTAATAAAAGTTTACATTTACCTTCATATATTAAACACAAAAAGCTTTCAATAAAACATGAGACATAAACAAAAACTGTCTTGCCAGATGGACAAGACAACAATCTCGCTGATGGGTGACTTATTTTTGCTTTTCTTTTGTTTTTCCAAACGTCACAAACACCTCTCCTTCCCCCTGTGTGCTGCTCGACACTTTATCTTCGAAAAGACGCTCTGATCTTTGCAGTAAAGGAGACGTCATGACTTCGTATCTGGTTGGACCTCCGGCTGCTCTGAACACAGCGGATGGTTTCCTGTCGGAGTGATTAGTGATAAACGTGGAAGTTGTGGAAGAGACAAACACATTGCCAAAGGCATCACTCTCCTCATACGTTTCACTGACCGTCTTGGTGCCAGTTATTTCGGGGTGCTGCTCTGGAACAGCTTGCACCTCCAGCACACTGACTTTGCGCTCAGGAATGAGACTTTGTTTTGAGGATTCTTCCTCCGGATTTGGTTTGAAGGTTGACATGGTTGGCTTTAGTGGTTCAGTTGGCTTTCTTGAAGAGTGAATGGAGATGAAAGATGGGGAACTCTGAGATGAAGACTGTCTAATGAGGGATTTATTGTTGGCTTGTTTTAGCACTTCTCTTTTAGAAAGATTTGAGTCCACGCCTCTTGTCTCGTTGGTGGAACCCAGTTTGCTTTTGCTCGACACAATACTGATCTTCCTGATGTTACCGGCAGGTTGAAGACTTTGCTCGGATTTCAAAGATTCATCAAACAGTCCCGACAAACCAGCAATGTCTGCCTCAGACTTTAGATTGGACACAGAGTACAAAGCCTTTTTGATTGTTTCTTCAATATCTACCAGCTTGGCCAAAGTCTGTTCCTTCAGCTTCATTATCTCCTTGCTTGCTTTCTCAAGATCTTCAAAAGCCATTTCAACAGAGGAGATGCTTTCGAGGTCATCGTCCTGTGATGATACTTCAATTTTCTTTTCCTCCTTTTTACATTTCTTTGCAGTTCTTCCAGGTGTAACCATCCAAGTAGGAACGTTCTCATACAAAGTCTTCATGGAGCTAGAGTCCACACTGCAGGCCTCTCCTTCTATCTCCTGCACCTGGGACAAAATTCCTTTCAGTTCTTCTCGTTTCCTTAAGTTATCAAAGATTTCCATGGCTGCCTGGACATTTCCTTTCATGATCTCATCCTTGTGGACAGAAAGTCTTTGTCTTCTTTCTTCTTCTGTTTCTCGAACTTTCTTCTCTCTCAGAACAACTTTATCTGCAAAGTCTTGTTTGTTTTCTCCGGAGCCGTGTTGGACTTTTGGAGGGTCAGGATTGTGTTTGTACTGTTGAGCAGGGGCTTTGTCACTTTGCCTGTTGTCATAAACCACTTTTACCTTCTTTGATGGTAAAGTTCTTCCATCCAAAGCCTCTCTGTCTTTTCTTTCAAAGTTTTGCAAGGTGGTCTGCAAGCTCACATTCATCTCACGGTTCCCATCTTCTGCATAATTCTTCACACACGTCTGTATCTCTTCAGCTGCATTTATTTTCTGGATCACATTTCTTTCCATTTCCACTTTGTCACTACAAAGGTGGACATTTGATTTCTTCTCTGTAAGTGTTTTAATTTGTTTCTTATCTTCCTGAATGTTAATTGTCAGATTTTCGTTTGACTTATTTGAGCCTTGCACAGATTCATCAACAGAACTTTGTTGGAAGGTCTCGTGCAAATGCTCTCTTGTGTTTTTGCCATGCGTTGTAACTTCTCGTTGTTTGTCTTTTGAGTGTGCATGAAGCTGTTGGTTTTGTTTTGGAGGCGTCCCTGCATTAATGTCATGTTCAACCAGGCAGGTAACTTTAGGACTTGGTACTGGTGAGGTGACTGGTCCTTCCATAGAGACACATTTCATCCACTGTGGCTTCGGAGGTAAAGCTGGCTTCTGCTCCTTCTTTTCTAGGAGTGGGGGCGAAGTTACTTTGTCAAGGCTGGGAGATTTATAGTTTCCATTTGCTACAGGGCTGGGGGCTGAAATCTGTGTTGAGACGCTTTGCTGTCCTTCACAGGTTACTGAAATTGAAGGAGACAGTTTTGTGTCAGATGGAGGTACAGACACCACAACACACTGATCGTGAACAGTCTTGCTCCTTCCTGAACAAGCCCTGCCTGAATTTCTGTATATCATGGCAGCTTTGAAGTCTCCTTTAGATATGTTAACACTAGACTTCTCAAGGGATTCTAAAGCAAATTGCACATTTCCTCTAACAACATTTTCTTTATCTATAAACCTTTGCTCTGTTGCTGCACTTTGGAGAGACCTAATTGTTGCTTTCACATCTCCTCTAACAACTTCTTCTATTTCATCTTTAATAGCCTGACTGTTAAAATCACAGCTAATAAAAGGTTGTGTTGATCGTACAGGACCATTTCTGACTACAGCTGCAGTCTCAAAGGAAGCTTGGCTTTCCTGCTCCTTCTCTGCATTACTGACCTTTAGATTACTCTTGACGGGCTGGCACCTGGACGAGGATAGACTTGTAGGCGGTTCCATAGTGGAGGAGCTCTCTTCTTGCGCTGACACTCCCAGGTTGTATATTTTTCCAGGAACAACGACCTCCCGCTCAACTTGAAGGCTTTGCTGCTTGGCCATTTCAAGAGATTTCTTAGCTGCTTTCACATTTCCAGATATAATAACTTCTTTCTGCGATTGGCTTGCTTCTTCTACAGGATCTTGACTTGACAAGTCGATGTCATAGATTGTCCCAGGTTTAAAAACCTCCCGCTCCACAAACAGGCTCTGCTGCTTTGCACGTTCCAGTGATTCCATTGTTGCCTTGATGTCACCAGGTACAATGTCCTCTTTGTCCACAATTAAAGGTTGCTTCACAGCAAGTTGTTGCTTTGCTGACGAGACATCTCCTGGGATTATTTCTTCTTTAGGAATAGAGCTGTCTACATTAACGAAGCACTCAGAGGAAAAAACCTTTTTGGTGTTCTTGACATCTCCTGGTAAAACATCACAAACAGTTTTTTCAACCTGCTCTTTTTGCTGACAGAGGCTTCTCTTTGCTTCTTCCACACTGCCTTCAATTGTTTCGACCTGCTCCTTCACCAAACTGCTGTGATCGGCCTCACATTCAAATGTCTCAGCATGAAGGCTCTTCAGGTATTGCAAATCTCCTTTCTCAATGCAACTCTTGTACAAATTCACATTTCCCTTCTCATTTACATCCACTCTCGTTGAAGTTATTTGACTATTAGCAGTTGCCATCAGATTTCCAATTGTGGTTTTTACATCTCCCCTTTCCATAATTTGACTTCCAGTTTTGATTTCGTTATTGCAGATGAGTGAATAAACTGACATTTCTGCTTTTCCTTCTCCAATTTCTTGTATTATGATTCCTTTTTTGAAATCCATTGCATAAACTAGCAGCTCATCTATTGTTTGCACAATGTTTTGTACTCTTTGATCACTCTCAATGTCGATATGGGACTCGAAGGACGGAAGCTCCATGACTGCGGTGTTCACTTTACTCTTTTCAATTTCTCGCAGAAGAGTAATTTGTGGTTTGATGGTTGGTTTGAGCAGAAGTTGTAACATGATGTTCCTAATGTTACCAGCAACAATATCCTCTTTCTCAATTTGCACACCTTCAATGCTTTCAAGCAAATATTTTGCCATTTTAACGTTCTTTCCTTCATTTGATTCTATTATGATGCCACTTGAGTGAACAAAGTTCATTTCATACAAGTATGAAAGGGTGTCAGCCACACTGCTGGCAGTGATTTTATCCAGGGGGGTAGTCTCAAAGAGCCAGGTGGTACACTTCACATCAGCTTTGGGTATCTCCTCCACGTGTTGGTCTGATGTTTCTTCAGCCTTCTTGATTTTGTCCAGAGACTGAGATTCAAACAGCCAGGTGCAGCGTTTCACATCTCCCTTTTGACTGTCCTCCCTGTGGACTGTCTTCACTGGACTCTGCTCCTGAGGCCCCCCTTTAAGGCTATCAAGGATCTGGTTCTCAAAGAGCCATGTGGAGGTCCTTACATCCCCTCGCTGCACGTCAGTGACACTAACCATTCTCGCAAACTTCTTGCCTGATTGATCAGACTCAAACATCTGTTTTGTTAGCTGGACATTGCAGCCTCCAAAGCCTTCTTCGGTAACCATAGCTGCAGGTTCATCTCGATCAGTAAACGAATCCAAAGGTTGAGTCTCAAACCTCCATCTGGCTGATTTGACATTTCCTTTCTTGACATCTTCTTGTGTGACTGCTCGAATCACATAAACTTCTTTCTCTTCCTTGATGGCATCGAGAGGTTTAGTCTCAAACATCCACCTTGCCCCTCTTACATCTCCGCTCATGATTTCTTCTTTTCTTGCCGTTGTCACTTCATGAAACTGGCCTTCTTTGTCTCTGATGGCATACAGAGGCAGAGACTCAAACATCATGGTACTGGACCTCACGTCTGCATTGCTCATATTTTCTTTTGCAGAGACTGACCTCTGCTCAAGTGGGTCCTGCATGATTTTGTCTAGTGAGGAGGTTTCAAATATGAACTTTTTATTTTGTACATCACCTCTCTCAATAACATTGACTGTCTCTTTACTGACTTCATTGAGGTCCTTGTGGATCTGATTCATGGGACAGTTCTCAAACATCCATGTGAATTTATGCACTGAACCTTCTTCAGTGCATTTGTCTTGGTTCTGCCCTTCTGACATCATCACGGTTTCTGACCCTATTTCCTCAAGAGATTGGGACTCAAAAAGTTCTTTGACACGTGAGACATCTCCTGTCTGGAGGCTGACCTGACTGAAGTATCGCAGGTTTGGCTCTGAATCTGAATTTCCTTTGATTCTGTCCAAAGTTTCTGTTTCAAAAATGTGTTTGACTGTTTGAACACTAAGCTCTGGCTTGACAGAATCCTTTGCTGTACTGCACAGCTTCAAACTGTATGGCTCACCATCTTTGATGCTGTCTAATGGCTGAGACTCAAAAAGCCAAGTAATAGACTTGACGTTTGCATCAACAGATTCTTTGTCTTTGGCTTTTTCCATTTTCTCATACAGCATATCCACTGGCTGTGTTTCAAAGAGCCATCTGCAGGTCTGGACATCACCTTTGCAAGACTCATCTGTAATAACAGAGCTTTTCTCTGTCTGATTGAACTTACAGTGGATCCCATCCAATGTCTGAGTTTCAAAAAGCCACTTTGCCATTTTTACGTCACCTGTGGTGTCCTCCTGTCTGGTGATGCCTTTGATTACTTCAACGCTTCCTTTTCCATCAGTCATTTGATCTAAAGGTTTGGTCTCAAACATCCACTTGTAGTTTTTGACTTTTCCTTGAACCAATTCCTCTCGGCTGACTGTTGTGACCTCATGGAGATTTCCAAAGCTGTCCTTTATTGCATATAAAGGAGTTGTCTCAAGCATTGCCTTGTCACATTTTCTGTTCACACCTGAAGCAGTACTATCCTTTGTCTCAACTGTCTCCTCTTCCAAACGAGTAATTTCACCCAAAGGAATCGTTTCAAAAAGTTGCTTGAATCCCTTCACATCGCCCTTTTCGATTTCTTGTTTTTTTACTGAGGTGTTTGTTTGAAAATTACCGTTTTCAAATATGAGCTTTTTGCCTTGGACTTGCCCTTGTTCTTCAGCTGAAATGGTGATTCTCTTCAGGCTCCCGACTTCATAACTATCACTAAGAGTTTCCATGGGCTGAGTTTCAAACAGCCACAGAGAAGTCTTCACATCCCCTCTTGTGAGGTCATGTGTCTTGTGTTGGGTCTCCAAGATTTTATTTCTGTTGACATCAGCCTCTCCTGCTTCAAACATGTCTTCTCCAACATACTCTTGTATTGTGTCAAATGACTGAGTTTCAAACATCCACCTCTTTTTGTCAAAACCTCCTTTCTGTGCCTCTTCTAGAGAAATACCTCTAATTATTTTCACTCTGTCACTTTCCTTGTTGATCATGTCCAAGGGCTGGGTTTCAAAGAGCCACCGGGTGTTGCTGAATGTGCCACTGTTGATCTCCTCCCTACAGATCGATTTAATCTTGTGGATGTTGCCACTGTTGTCTCTGATGGCACAGCACGGTTCTGTCTGGAACAGTTTCACTGTCTTCTGGACATCTCCTTTCTGCTCCTGAAGCTCAGACTTCAGTTTCAGAATGCTGCAGTCCTCAATGGAGTTGCAGCGCCCCAGATCACTCAGAGGTTTTGTCTCAAAGAGAAGCCGAGCCCCTCGCACATCCCCAGACTTTGTGGGTTCCTTCAGAACTGCTTCTACCAGTTCACCCTCTTCCTCTCTGGATTTACTTAGATGATCTAAAGGCTGGGTCTCAAACAGCCAAGTTGATGTTCTCACATCTCCTCTGACAGAGGTTTGGCTTCTAATCGGTAGATATTGCGTGCTGTTGACAAACTCGAACTTTGAGGAGGTGCTTCTGACATCTCCACCTTTCATCTCCTCAGTATGCAAAAGCTTTTTGGTTTCATGAGGATCTCCAATGTTATCCAGAGTCCAGTTCTCAAAGATCCACCTCATGGACTGCACTTCACCCTGATAAGCTGCATCTGCTGCCTGAGAGCTCTCTGACTGAACAGCTTTCATTATCTCATCGTCCACTGCATCATCAAGACTGGCCCGCAGGTCAGGGTGGATGTGTTTGAAAAGCCTCTTCAGCTCACTTTTCTGCCGTTGCTGGTAGAACGTGGTGAAGCTTTCTTTAGGTGGAGGTACAGGAAGGCTGCTTAACACCAAAGACCCTTCATAGTTAAGGGGTCGAGGTGGTACAGGAGGAGGAGGAGGGAGGGGCAGGTCGTCTTCATCGTGAGCTGGTTGTGAGATGGTAATTTTTCTGGCAGCATCAGCCATCTTGGAATAAAACACAGAAAGGAGTAACAATATAAGGACAGTCACTAAAACCAGTATTAATATTAATTAGGGTGGCATGCATGTAGTTAGAAGAAGCCTTACTTTACCTTCCTTTGTGTGTGTTTGTTTGTTTATCACAGCAAATCATCCTCGGTCACGCCAAAGTTAAAAAACACAAAACACCTAACAGCTGTTAGTAGGCAGAAATCACACTCATGCTATTTTCACGCACAAACACCAGAGAAAGTCCAGAGAATTTGGTCTGGGACTTGAACTGCAGAGTCATGATGACACATGCTGCACACACATTTTACTTCTGTGTTTTTAAAATCTGGCTGAAAAAATGCAGACATTTGATGCGAGTCTTTATGTTCCAGAAGTGTTTCAAAATATTAAGACCAATGCGACAAGTGAAAACAGCTCCACTCAGGACACCCCAGTCTCTTATGGAAGTACATTTTAGAGTTTTTTCACTTTATTAAAACAATATAAATCAGCAGGGAACTTTTTGAACATTTTTATTTTGTATTTTGCTCTAATGCTGACAATGAGGGTGGAGGCAGGTGTGGGTGCTTCACCTATCCCACCCACATTTAGGAATTATGAAACTAATTAAAATACAATTTTCTAACAAGTTTAAATGTATTTATTTAAAGCTAATTGAGAAACACTTTTAAATGTTTGACATTCAGTCTGCAGAGATGAGAGCAGCTGACTCTTGGTATTTAGATTGATGGATTCAAAAAGTGTCTCTTCTACAACTTCATTCATGTTTTTTTTTTATTGTATCCTGCATTATTTTTTCCTAAAAAATGTTTTTTGTTTTATAACCCTTGGTTGCGTCTGGAAACAAAACAAGCGAAGCCTAAACCACACAGCACACATTAGTAGAGAACATGTTCACTATAAGCTGCATAAACTTTACCCTACCTTGCTGTTTTTAGACTTTTTGCCTGGAGCAGCTGTGAATTCCTGTTGAACAGAAAAAAGCAGGTTAGTTTGTTAATGCTCACCGTGCTACACGTGTTAAACATGAGCCGGAAATTTATTTTAGACCATCAGATTGCTCTAATTGTGAGGCCCTCATTGTGTGGTCAGGAATCAGAGGTATTTCAGGAACTCACCGGGTGTATCGAGCCTCCCGTGGACTCGGTGGCTGCTGTTCTGGACAGATAGAGAGCTAATCTGTCTCTCACTGAGGAGCAAGCAGATATTTTGTCTCTGGTTTGTCTTAAATGGGTGCCACTTCTGCTCGCTCTATCTGCAAACAGAAAAACAGGAGCAGATTTAACATAAAATTGGATTTGATATGTTTGTATTGACAGCAATGAAGTTTAATAGAAGCTTGTCAGAGAAGGACAGGAGAGGGCAACAGGTGTGACTGAGTCAATAAAAGGTTTTCTCATGATAACAGCTTGTATTTTTAGTTGTGCTTAAAGTGGGCCTACTCAGAGTGAAGGTGGAATCCATCTTATCTTGTCGTAGCTCACTGATAACTCTCACAACCTACTTTTGCACTGAGGCAGGAAACATGCATTACTTTACAACTGTAAGAAACAAGTCTGATTTCATCCTGTTAGTCGTCAGAATGAAGCCTGCAGCCCGAGACGCTCATCACTGCATACCATGGACTGAACATCACACCCGGGGGGAAATAGCAACTGCTAGCTCAGCTGGAGCAACACACATTGTTTGCTCATTGTTGGCATGAGCTTTTTGCCACCAAACCATCAACCCCTGACCTGAGGAATGAAACGGCTTGACCTTGTACAACTCATGGAAATAATTTCTGCTGGGCTGGCTCACCTCATGTTGTTCGGCTTGCAACAAGATTCTTTGGTTTAGAATACTAAAAACATGACGTGTGGTAAACAAGCTGGTGGCCAATGTTCCCTGACACTGAAGAACCTGAATGGTAAATGTTTGTAGTTTTGTAGATTAGTGTTTTCTGGACTGAAATAAAACAGAGAATGTAAGTAAACCTAAATGTTTTGGTGGAAGATATTCAAGTGGGTAGGAGTTGCACTGTGGCGAATAACAGAGGGAGGATTTTATTTTTATTTTTTGCTTGTCTGCGCAGAGTGATGGATCCTGGAGATTAAAATAGATTCATCTTCAGTCAGCCCAATCGTTTGAAGAAACTATCCTTAGAAGCAATACAAAAACTACGAAGCATAATGTCCTCAAACGATCAGAATGGCCAGTTTATACACACACACCTAAATGCAGCCACGCTAAAATGAAAGTTGACTTGTTGCTTATTTTTCAAGCTATTCAGCTCACGATGGTAACATGTTTATACATACTGTATGGTGGCAGCCATCATGGATTTTTACATGGCAGCCCAATTTTCGAAATGGAACTTTTTTAATGGGACAGCTGTGGTTGAGTGGTTACAGTAGTCGTCCTACAATGGGAGAGTTGGGGGTTTGATTCCACAATTAATCACAAGTTGAAGTGTCCCTGGGCAAGACACTGAACCCCTCATAGCCTCTGATGTGTGTCCCATCAGTGTATGAATGTGATAAAGCTCTGACTATTCTCTACAGATTCAGATTATCTTTGTAGAGATGCAGTATACCGTAGTGCTGTATGAATGTGTGAGGCGGTAAATGAGGGTGCAGACTGTGTTGTAAAGAGCTTTAAGTATCTTGATAAGATAGAAAGGAGTTATATAGTTACCATTTAAACCTACATGTGGCCACACATCCAGTTGGACAGTGGTACTGCTCTTATTTTCATGTTGTCATGCTCACAACATGCACAGACAGACAGAGAGAGGGTGTTTCCACTTCCAAACAATAAAACTCTGATGACATATGGTGTGGCCTGTACTGTGAATTTGAAGGTCAAAGGTGTGTGTGCTGCACAGGTCAACCATCTGTAACTAATGGTCCAACTGAAACACACCTCCCCTCCCCCGTCCCCCCCAGGACAAAAGGATGGAGCGGTGAGTCGGCGCCTCTCACGGGTCTGGACTTAAAGCATTTTCATAGATGGGTGACCAGAAAGAATGAAGCCACTGAGGGCTGCGCCTTCTCATCTGACAAATCCAGAGGTCGCCCATCATCATCATCATCATCAGCAGCAGCAGCAGCCGCATGTGGGTAAAACTGTGAAGTGTGATCCAATCAAAAAGGACTCAAAATGTTATGAATTAAATCCACTTTCTGTCTGTCTAATCACTTTCCCACCGTTCAAAGTACCTTCTGCTGACAGCTCTCTGATCTGGGATAATTCTCCAGGAATGACGAGGAGCTATTAGCGGCGCAGTAACGGGTGGGCCGTTTTGGCTGCTGGCAGCTGGGCCTAGGGCAGTGAAATCCTGTTGCTATTTGTTCTTCAGCACCTTCACAGCTATCAGCTGTTGTCAATAGTCGGCACATTCACAGGCTATAAAGGAAATCCGAAACACCAAAGGACGGCTCGCACCAAATGACCCAAGACTCTCCAGACAGCACACGCCATGGTTTTATGCTCAAACGTACAAATCATGTTCAGATTTTCTGTTTTCTCTGTAAAACTTTAAAGTGAAACTAACACTTTCCTTAAAGAACTGTTTTCAAGATCATCATAAAGACACTGAATGAACATGGACAGTGGTTCTTTGTCCTCATGTTCCAGAAAAGTTTAAAGATGACAAACTTGTTAAAGATACAATTAGATTCTGACTCGTTAGACCTTGTCCATAAAAACAGAAATAAATTATGTTATACAGAAGTATATATAACTGTAAAAAATGCCATATTACACATCCTTTTACTCAAGATGAACAAATCTGAAGTATTTCCAAAGGCTGAATAAATATACTTCATTTTAATGAGCTTACTTTTTAGATCATAGTCCCGTTTGTTGGTAATAAAAATAACATTAGAGAAATTTCATTGCTGAATGATTTCATCTGAAAGCTGCTGAAAAGTTTTCATTGCTAATCTGTTACTGTGCGTTGAGTTTGAAGAGCTACAAAAAGTCTGAAATTAGCAAAATAAGAAACTGAAATAAACAAAAAGTGACTGAAAAGCTAAGAAAAATTAACATTAGCAGAAAGAACAAAAGGCAGAAATTAGAATCAAAACTACAGAAAAAAAGGCTAGAATTAACAAAAAAAAAGCAATAATTTGGCATTTTTTGAAAGAAACACAAAAGGTGGGAATTAGCAAAAAATAAAAAATAAACAAACAGCAGAAAATACAAAAACATGTAGCTGAAAAGCAGATAAAACTGCATTTAGCAGAAAGAAGCTAAAAGGTGCGTTAAAAGCTCATATTAGCAGAAAGAAGCTAAAAAAGAACAAATGAAATGAGTTGAAATGAGCAGAACAATGCAGAAAACAGCTGAAGCAGAAGGAAAGCTGAAATGAGCTGTAACAGGTCGTAAACAGCTAAAAGGGTTTGAAGGGTGTGGAACGCTCCATTCATTTTCAAGTGAAAATTCCTCATAAACCAAAAGTCGCAGCAGGAATGTCCTGGATGTTTTGATTTAAGTGTTGAAATAGAGAATTAATTACAGAACGAGTTACGTGCTGAAATTCAGGAAAATATTTCTCAATAGTGAGAATAATTTTGAACCTTCTCTCCTCTGAAGTCATATCTGTCGTATACTTACTGAAGTCCTGTTCAGTTTTATAATCCCTTGTGTTGAGTAGCAGACTGGGCCCGTGATGTGTCTCTCACTGAACTCTCGTCCTGTGGTCTTGGCGACAGCTGATTTTTATCTGGTCCTGCTGTTGAGACTTCAGCTATTTTGAGAGTGTGGGCTGGCTGCTGCTGCTTGACTCAGTCAGCTGGTCACTGAGCGACTGGGACACCCCCACACCTCCCTTTCCCACAGCCACATTGTCACCCACTATTACGGGCGTTGGGTGGGACCATTAGTATGTGTGGTGATGGGTATTGGGGGGTGGGGGGTCGTATTCAAATAACAAGCAGGAACTCACCAACGGTTCTATTTTGGTGAAATGGTCAAAGGATTCACTGGAAGTTAGTCACCGTAAGTCACATGGACCTTCTCCTGTTTCACTACGATCTTGTTATTATCCACCTGGAAGGTGCTCTTCTGTCAACTTTAATGTGGCCTGAACTCTAACGTGTTCTATCAAAACGACCGGCTCGGCACCGTGATGTGTGCTGTTACTTTTATTGGCATTTTGAGTTACCATGGCAACATAGTCTGCAAACAAAGACACCATTTTTCTCATTAAAAAAACACTGACAGAACTCTTCACAGCCTCTACCTGCCACAGTGAGGTCACATCAGTGGAGAGGTCTCTGAAGAAAACACTGATTACCTTTTGGAGCCATTTTGAATCAAGATGGCTGCCACAGCTACCTCAGGAAACTCAAAAACTATAACTCAGTCATTCTTTGAGATACTGAGCTGAAATTTGGTGTGTTTGTAGTTGAGAGCGAGTTGTTGAACATTCCTGATGCAAATTAAAACTCCAAGATGGCCACCATAGCTTAAAAGAAAAAATGACTGTATTTATTTATTTATTTATTGGTAACACTTTTACAATAAGATACACAAAATTTGATTAATTACTAGGAAACGCCTCAGGAACGAATCTGAAACATATCAGGAGCTAATGGGTAGTTAACTGGGAACACACAGCCAAGCCTTATTAGGAGACTACGGGTTAGTTACCACAGGAACAAACCAGTAGGTAATGGTCAGGTAGTGATTAAGTGATGACTGGTTCCTCAGTAAGTACTTGGTATGATGCTTCACTACATCAGTGAACAAAATAATATCCAGGCAGTGATTTAGTACTCAGTAAGTGGTGGTCAGACATAGTTAAGATGACACCAGTACAAGATCATGAACCTGATGATGTCTTTCATCAACAGGTTTACAAAAGAGAAAATCCAATAAAATCACTAGGAAACTGGTTTTTGACAGTTACGAGATGTGACCTCACTGGTGCAGGGTTTATTCAGAACCCACATGGAGAGTTTTTCCTCTGTTTCTGGTAACAAACCAGTAGTCCCCTAAGAAGGCTTGGCTGTGTGTTCCCCAGTAAGTACTGGTTAACTACCCATTAGCTCCTGTTCGTTCCTGAGGCGTTCCCTAGTAGTTAATCTAATTTTGTGTACCTTATTGTGAAATGTTACCATTGAAGTCTCTTTTTTTGTTTATCCCCTTACACCACAAACACCACAGAGTAAAAACATGAGCACGAGCTGCAGGCTCAGCTGGCAGAGGCTGCGTCATGGTCAGAGCTCACTTCTATCTACAACCCATGTGCTGAACACATAGTTATGTATTTACTCCATCCTCGGCTTTATTTAGCTTTCACTCTTATTCTGTGAAACAGCACACGAGGTACGACTCAAACTCTTTCAAGGTTTGCACGATGACACTCTAAATACCTTCAACCTTGATGATGTTCTGTTTGCTGGAACCGTAACGCAGATACTTTGTTATGCTAAATATACCTGATATTCCAGCCTGTCCAGAACAAGGTTTTATTTAAAGAAACAACAGCTGCTTCCACACGGTGACACTAAAATATGCCTGTAAATTATGTCTTTGAGGTGCTCAGACACTGAGCCCACCTGTCCACAGTGTCAGTGACTTTAATCCTCTGCTCACCGTCTGTGTGGCTGGAGGCTCTGCTGGGACACTTCGGGAGGCTGTTGACCTTTGGACCATCCACCTGGGTCGTTCTCTGTGGATTGACAAAATATTAAACTGAAGTGAACTGGTTTAATGCTTGCATCTTAACTGGGACAAGCTAAGGGATTTGAATGTAGTTCAGGAGATGGGTGTTTTTCTGGACTGTAATTGAACAGAGAATAAAGTAAACCTAAATGGTTTTGGTGCAAGATGTTCAAGTGGAGTGGAGTTACACTGTGGAGAAGAACAGAGGGAGGGGTTTAATTTTTCTCTTGTCCGAGGCAGCATAGTGTGACACATCCTGGTGATGGAGCCAGGGGGTGGCAAATGGTGGCCTTGGCCCCCATAGATTAATCCACCCCAGTCAGTTGAGGAAACTATACTTTTAAGCATGAAATATGAAAAATAGAAAGCATAGTTTCCTTGAATGATCAGGATGACCTGTTTACATATGGTGGCAAGCTGGCAGCCATCTTGGATTTTGACGTGGCAATCCAACTTTCAACAGGAATCTTTCTTACATTTAGATGCAGCTTCACATCAAAATGAAAGTCGGTAGCTCACTTATTGTTCAAGTTATGCTCACAATATTCACAGATAGACGGAGGGCATTTCCAGTTCACTCTTTTTGCTCCGTGACGAGGAACAAAAACAGGTCTGCGAAGTGTGAAACTTGAAAATGAGCACAAACCAATTAATTCATCTTTGTGGGAAGTGCATTTAATGAGAGAATAGACACCGCTCTAGTTCTCCACACTGGTTGTAAAAGTTTCTAGTGAGCTGATTTTGGTTTTCTTTGGAGAAAATGACCTGCGCTCCTGAGGAACCTTCATGAAACAAACAGACTGTCTTCCTTCAAATCCAGGAGGTGAGAGCGTGGCCGTCTGCTTGTATATGATGCACCAGAACTAATACTGTAAAAATATTGGTACCACTTTACAATAAGGCTCCCCTTATAGATGGCTAATAAATAGTTCATAGATATGTTATTAATTCCTGTATAAACATTTTATAAATCATTAATAACTGCTTATTATGCATTAATTAAGGGTGACAGAGACAAAACTGACCAGTTTCTTGCCAAATAGTGAGCCAAATCTGTTCACCTATATATTTCATCTAGAATTGTTATATTAAACATTTCAGACCAAGTTACTACCTTGTAAGCACAATAAACATTTGTCAACCTAATTTTTTTAGGATATAGTATTGTACTTTATCACCGCATTATAAGTATCTACAACTGATATTATATCATAAAAAATAGGTATATAAATGCTTATTGTGCTTACAAGGTAGTAACTTAGTCTGAAATGTTTAACATAACAACTCTAGATTAAATATATAGATGAACAGATATGACTCACTATTTGGCAACAAACTGGTCAGTTTTGTCTCTGTCACCCTTAATTGATGCATAATAAGCAGTTATTAATGATTTATAAAGTGTTTACAGAGGAATTAATAACATATCTATAAACTATTTATTAGCATCTGTAAGGGGAGCTGTAGAAAAATATTTAAATGTAAAAACTTTGAAGGCAGAATTTTATTGTGGTCTAATAGGTGAAAATTATTAGCTTTTCCATCTGCAGTGATTTGTCGTGTGAACATCAGTTCTTGTACCTGGACCAGCGTCTCTTTCAGAGGACTGTTGTAACTTCTTGAGTCCTGCAGAGGCCAGTCTCTCCCTGTTTGACTGCCGGCTGTAGAGGTCCTCTTCAGCTGCAGGGTGGACTTGGACTCGAACAAAGCACACAGAGCTCTGGTGCCAGAGGGCTCTCTTTGAGGGAGGACGTCCATGGAGCGGCTCCTGGACAGACGGGAGCTGTCCCTGCTGTCCAGCCACCTCCAGGGTCCATCCACACAGTTTTCAGAAACCTGACCACAGGAGTTCACATTTATCTTTTTGGTTTTATTACTGATCACAACAAACCAGCATGGCAAACAACAGGTTACCTCAAGTTTTTGCTTTGATTTCTCAGAACTCGTCAGGTCGGAGCAGCTTTGGTAACTGTTGGAGCACAGTTATAACATATTTATCATGTGAGCTCAGCTGAACAGCTGTGGAGAGACTGAAACACACGTTCTAATTAAATATATTGGATATGTGGAACAAGCTTACTGCTGCACCAGCTGAGAGACAGACTTTCTGCTCCAGGTTGCAGAAGGGGACATGACCCATGAAGTTTCCTGAAGCCCAGAAAGAGCCCTCAGGGACTGAGTCCTCCTCAGACCAAAAGCCTCCATGACAAATTCCCAACAGCAGCTTCAACAGGGGCAGAAAGGTCATGTTTTTAAAACTCGTGATTGCTGACGTTTAATTTTTGGTTAACGTTGGAGTTTCACAAAGCACATCATTACTTAGAGCAAATCAAATCAACCCAGATATTTATTGAATGAATCTCAACACGTCATAAAGCCGAGGTTTGAGTTGTCATTTAACCGACTGGGACACGGACGATCTTATGACTCTGTTAATGTTTACAAACTGCAGCAGCATCAAACTCAGGTGTATTTCTGCGTATGTTGCTGAACAATCACTCAATCTTTTAGCTGTTCCTAAACTCAGTCAGGTATTTTAATAAAACTATCTTAATCTTGAACTGAAAATTAAATGTTGTGTTTGCATTTGTATCCTCTAAAAGTTTCATATAAAAGAAAACCGGTAGTCAGTTTGTTGCAGATGTTATAGTCTTTAAAATAATCCAGATGTTTCTGAAACCAAATGAAAACTACATACCTGAGGAGGAGGAAGAGAAGAAGAAGTCACCTGTGATTCTCTGTCTTTCTGTCATAGATGTGGAGCATCTTCAAGACGCAGCAATTTCCAGTGACCAAAGTCCTCTCACATCTTGTGACTCAAGACTTCCGGAAACTACTTTTCCTCTTAGAATCACCTGATGGTTTTTTTTATTTTAATTTTAATTTTTATACAGAGCAGAAAACAAACAAACAAAAACAAGACAGCAGCTTCTGAAAACACACCTTGGACACAAAATACTGTCTGTGTTTTCCAAATGTCTAATGAACAATGTTCTCATGAGCAAGGTGAGTAAATGATCATCTTCATCTCACAGTCCCCCATAAAATGATCATCTTCTATAACTACCTGTTTAAACTTTATGAAGCTTAAAGTTAAAACCCAAAGTTCGTTTCAGATAACAGATAAACTTGTTGTGGAAAAGGAGTAAAATTGTAAAAATGTTCGTGACTGAGTTAGAAACACTGACTGCATCATCTTTGGTGTAATTTTTGTTTCTCTTACAAACATTTTGAAGGCAGTAAACATTTTGGTGATTAGAAAGAGAGGCGTGTTTGTTAATTTATAAAATATTTATTTTAGCAGATCAAATGTGTGACAAACTGAACTTTTAACAATGTTTAGTTGTGTGTAGTGGCAGCACGGTGGCGCAAGTGGTAGAGCTGCTGCCTCTCAGCGAGCAGGTCCCTGGTTCAAACCCCGGTCCAGGGGCCTTTCTGGGTGGAGTTTGCATGTTCTCTCCGTGCATGCGTGGGTTTTCTCCGGGTACTCCGGTTTCCTCCCACAGACCAAAAACATGCATGTTAGGCTGATTGGTAACTCTAAATTGTCCCTAGGTGTGAGTGAGAGAGTGAATGGTTGTTTGTCTCGTTTGTCTCTATGTGTCCCTGTGATGGACTTGCGACCCGTCCAGGGTGTACCCCGCCCCTCGCACAGTGATTGCTGGACATGGGCACCAGCGACCCCCGTGACCCAAAATGGAACAAACGGGTAAAGATAATGGATGGATGGATGGATAGTTGTGTGTAAATGTTGTGCAAATAAAATAGGAAACTGGACAAAAGCAGTACACCAACGTCTCCTGTCTCTGAGGGGTTTGAATAGTGAATGTTTGTAGTTTTGGAGCTGAGTGCTTTTCTAGACTGGAAGTGAACAGAGAATGAATTAAACCTAAATGTTTTTGGTGCCAGATATTCAAGTAGGTCAGAGTTATAATGTGGAGAATAACAGAGGGAAGCTTGGCAGAGCAGAGTGATGGACCCTGGTGAGTGGACCATTGTGTCAGTACATTTAACCAGTAACGAGCAGTACCTCTGAACCCATCACCTGCTGCAGCAGCTCTGGCTCCATCACCTGCTGCTGCAGCTCCGTCTCTGGTCCCTGGTTCTCCAGCTGCAGCCCCATCTCCATCACCTGCTGCTGCAGCCTCGTCTCTGGTCCCTGGTTTTCCAGCCGCAGCCCCGCCTCTGGTCCCCGTTCTTGGTTCTCAAGCTATAGTCCTGGTACCCGACTCTCCTGCTGCAGTCATGACTCCACCACCAGCACCTGCTGCAGAGCTGGTTCCCAGCTCGTCTCTCGAGGTCCTTGCTCCCACCTCTTTGGCTGAGGTCCTCGCTCCCGCCTCTTCGGCTGAGGTCCTCGCTCTCGGCTCTTCGGCTGAGGTCCTCGCTCCCGGCTCTTCGACTGAGGTCCTCGCTCCCAGCTCTTCTTCAGAGGTCCTCGCTCCCGATCCGCCTGAGGTCTTCGCTCCCGACCCACCTGAGGTCTTCGTCCCCAACCCGCTTGCGGTCTTCATACCCGACCCGCCTGAGGTCTTCGTCCCCGACACGCCTGCGGTCTTCGTACCCGACCCACCTGAGGTCTTCCTAGTTTCCAACCCGCCTGCGGTCTTCCTCGTTTCCGACCCGCCTGCAGAGGTCCTCACCCCTGTTTTGGCTTTGGGGGTCCGCAACTACCTGAGTCCAGGCGGGCAGAGATGGATGCCTCTACTACCCCGGAAGGGATTGTCCCCTAGTCGCCCACCGGAACTCTGGTCTGAGGGTGGATGGTTTCCTGGCCGCCCCCCTGATCTCTTGCCTAATCTGGGACGGTCACCTAGTCGCCATCCTGAGTACTGGCCTGCCCTGGATGGTCTCCTGACTGTCCACCTTGACCCTGAGTTGGATTTTTTTGGTTTTTGTGTCTTGTTTCCCAGGTTTTCCTGTCGTTTTTTTTGTTCTTCTGGTCCTATGTGTTTCTCTGTCCTGTTTTGTCCCGCCTCCCACACAAGTTGGATGTATCTTGTTCTTGGGATGTCAGGAGCCATCCCTTGAGTGGGGGGTACTGTAGGGTTTCTGGGTTTTTGTCCTGTCTCTGTCTGTTTCCTCATGTTTCCTGATCCAGCACTCAGTGTTTTCCCTTGTGTTCAGTCCCTGTCTCACCTGTGTCTAATGTTAATCACTGCAGGTGTCTGTCATTGTCCTAATCAGTGTGTGTGTGTATATATTCAGTTCACTGGTGTCTTGTCTTTGTCTCAGGATAATCCTTCCATGGTGTTGTGTTCAGCCGTTTGTCCTGTGAGCTCTGATCTGCCTGTTTCCAGTTTTGTGAGTAGCTGCCCTGTCAGCATTTTGATTTTGTTTTGTTTAATAAACATGTTTACATTTTCCTCGAGCGTCCTTGTCATCCTCCTCACACATGGGTTCAAACATTCCTGACGGCCGAACGTGAAAAGCAGGGTAGAAGAAATTCACAGACAAGAAAATTAACGCAGTCCTGCGAAGAAAAATGTTAATGTAAAATAAATTCTGACATTTTTACAAAAGATCAGATGAAGACAAGTGGCATGAAGAATAACTTCCAAGCTCCATCTCGATGTACCTGTGATAGTTTAATAAGTTTTTTTGTTACTGTCCTACAGTTTATTGATGCTGATATATTCTTGGTAATAATTCTTATTTCTTGTTCTGGCTTGAGAGTCTCATCTGAACTTGACCCATTATTACCATATGCTAAACTAATAATATAAAACAAATGTAAATTAACAGTCCTGCAGGAAATACCAACTTTGTGAAGGTTATAGTGTTAAAGTAATTTTATTCAAACATCTTGATTCAGCTATTATTGTTTAGGGAAGACAGAAAATGAGATATTGTACCTTTGTGATACTTTTAATGCAACATTTAGCAGTTCAGTCATTCTCTTGTATTTACCTAGAAAACATAAAAAAAATTACTCATCTCCACGATCACGTTTTTCTTTAATGATAATGTCACACTTTATGCTGCAGTCTTTGACAAAGGATCTATAACTTGAACTAAATTAACCACGTCAATCTCTCAGAAAGATAGGCTAAATGTTTTCTAGTTGAGAGTTCAGTAACTGGAATTACCATAAAATAAAAATAAAATTATCAACTTTCAAAATTTAAGCTGTAATTGATATATTAAAACACTGAATTAAACCTGTTTAAACCCGTTATGTTAGAGTTAGCTGCAGTAAAAATACAACTAGCAAGTTAACATGTTTAATTAACTAAAACTGTCGAAATGAAGTATTAATGTTGATAAACTGTGGTACAGAACAGTCAGTTAACACTTCACAATGACAAAAAAATGTTGTATTTTCATGAACTTAACGTTCAATGCTGGAACCGCTGCTGTTTGGAACTATTTGCCGCTGCATGACCGATGTGACTTCCACATTCCATTTTTTCTATGGGAGTCTATGGGAGTGTCACAACTCTCTCTTTATAGGGTTTTGGTTTTACCTACATACAAACATTTGATTCAATGGCTATTTTAGACTTAATGGCACAACAAGAAGTAACACATGACCAACAGCTCTCCTTGTGTGAATAGAACAAGCTCCACTTCTCTCATGCATTCTAGCCACTGTCTAAGAAACACAGTGTAGCCTAAGTTAAGTTTTTTTTTTTTTTTTGGGGGGGGGGGGGGGGATTACTAGCTAATAAGAGTTGCACTCGGGTCCAAAAAATCCGACCCAATCCGGCCCCAGCTCGCAGCCATCAGTTTCAAACTCCACCCAATCCGACGAATTAACAGTAATTACAGGTCTGAACCCGAAACCCCCACCCCCAACATTTTTAATTAAGTTTTGACTGCTTATACCACTGACTATTATTAACGGTTGGCAGACGTGTATGGCTGAGTAAGGGCAGAAGATGGGAGCTGAGGAGCTCTCAAGGCGCATTAAATGCTTCCCCTGCTTCTGCCTGCATTGAACCCTGCTCTGACATGTCAGATATTTTGTGATCTCACCTGTTTGAGTCGTCGTCCGCGCACGTCCGCGCACGTCCGCGCACGTCCGCTGAGTGCTGCAGCTGAATGAATGTCCATTTGGGCTGATGGATTTCTGGCAGTAGTCCATCTGAAGCTTAATGAACTTTTTACCTCGTTCAGCGCGCGGTCAAATGGCCGTGTGCGGCTGGTGTATGGCAAGTCATGTTAGCATATAATTGGATTGTCGGCCATGCACGTCCCTGACG